CTGCAGTTTTGAAGAGTTTAGTGTGAAAAGTTTCCCATTTTCATTTCAATCTTCGTCAGTCTTCGTGTACATAAACTGGTATTAATGTAAAGTGTTATTTCTAACCGTTTTACTCAGCAGCAACTGCTGTTGAGAAAGCCAAAGGAAATGTGCAGCAGGAATCAGGATTGTACTTTTAGCCGAAGGCGCCTCTCTGTTAAGTGAAATCTTTTTAGTGAGAAATAGTGTTGTACTGATAAAAATCAACTGAGTGTCACAAAATCAAAGATACTTGACTTCAAGCATTACCTTCAATTTGATTATTAGCAAGTCTCTTTGATTCTGCGTCAGAAGTTGACTGAATCATCTTTGCTCGTGTTTTGATAAGATACTTCAAATCAAAGTCTTTCGCATTGACCTCTGCCGAAGATATGTATCTATACAATTTCATTAGTTTGCGAAAGTAAAATGTATTAAAGTATCTACACAAATAAATAAATCATAGATAAACAAAGAACATTGCATGGAATAACATACTATAGAGGTACGATCGTGGACCGCTGCGGCGTTAGTTCACCGCACCCTCTGCCAGGTTCGCTGCGAGCGCGCGTTAACGGTTTTTAACACAGGGTAGCATAGGGAGTTGGGAGTCCTTATTTATTCTATTGGTCCATGTCGCGGTTCTGAGATGAAAAAAGTTGAAGTTTCCAAATACGCCGTGTCAGGTGTCGATTTTTCTGTATTTTGGATCGTAAAATCCAAATGTTTAGTCGAAAGTTAGCCTTGAGGTCATTTTCAGGCCAAAACCCAAGATGGCGGCCAAAAATACCACTCAGGGGTGCTAATAGACGATTTTAGTGGTGATGTCAAGCGATATTGGTGGTTCGATATCTCGAAAGTCGAAATGTGCCCCAACAAACAAACATAACCTACAAAATGAACAATTAACGAAATAAGCTAAAACTAGACTGAAACCAAACAATTAATCCATGGGACTTTAAAATTATGAAAGCTACTCATTTATCAAAACGTTTGAGATCACAATCACAAGAATTGATTGTAAAATAAGATCGTAATATCATAGACAGTCATCGAGCGAATATCCCTACCCCCCCGCCTATATCCCGCAGATTCCTCCATGTTCGTTTGTTGGGGCACGTTTCGACTTTCGAGGTATCGAAATGATAACGAGATGTGACGTCACACTAAAATTGTCTATTTGCCTCTGCGGGTGTAGATGCATAGTGAGTATCAATCTTGTTACGTATCAATTGTTTGGTTTGCAGGGTCTTAGAGTCCGAAAATGAGGTCCATTTTTGGCTGTGGCTCTCTGGAAACCCTAAAATCAAATATGGCGCCCAAAATGGCCATCGATTTCACGGCTGAAACACCAATTTAGCGCAGCTATGACAAACAATACGTTCAAAATTAAGTTTTATAGGTCTAGGAGTTTGAAAAGAAGATCAAATGTTTACTCTTATAAAAAATTGAGCCTCCGAATCGAAAATGGCTGCCGACATGGCTGCCAGTTAGAGGCACAGACCGGTAAATGACAATTGATATTCAGGGATATGCCCAAGAAGGGGTTTCGGTAAGAGCCGTGTTTGGGCACATACCCTGAAATTCCTTAATTCTACGATTTTTTGCTCAATGAAAGTCTAAATTTTACAGAATGTATCATGATTTGGTCATTTACGGCCCATTTGGGGGTCTAATACTGGCCCAAACCTGAGTCCAAAGGCCGATTTTAGCGAAAAATGCGGGTTTCTTGGTATTCGACGCTCTGTTTCATAACAATTCCATCATTTGAAGAGTAAACTTTCCCTCCCGTTTGTTCATTACGGATGTGAGATAGTCATTTTTATCAATTTTCGTCGATGGTAAACCTTGCGCTCATACTTAAAAAGAACTTTTTAGAATTTTTTTGTTTTTCATCATAATTTAGAATGGCATAAAAAGGGCGACTCGTCTGAACTGGAAATAGATTTCTTCGCGGAAAATGTACGTAGCTGGTTAAAACCTTCCAAAAAACTTTTTGGATTAAACCCCCCCCCCTCAAAAAAAGCCTGTGTTGCCATATTTCATTGCCTAAAATCGCAGAAAACGGAGTAATTATTTCAGTATTTGGAGACTGTTCTTCGTCTAGCTCATTCAGCAAAGTTCAAAATCCCTGATTTTTCATACCTTATACGGTCAGATTACTAGTGATGATATACATATTTTCATCCATTATTATTTTATTTATTACACGTATTTATCTAAAGAGACTCCCTTCGCGGTGCGGCACTGTCACATATCATCATCAGAAAAATCTAGAAAAATCCGAGTTGGCCCAGGATAATTTTAGCATTTTTTTAGATTGTGTGCTTGGAATAAATACGTAAGACTTAAATTACAGTATTCAGAGATGCAAGTAGATCATATTTTGTGCCGATATGAAGAACTTGCGTTTGTAGGCGACCCATTATCTCACGAATGTTTGACATGATATTTGCGCATGAAGTTGCAACTTTGAAACGAAGATGAGAATTCTACTATCATCGCGCAGAGAATGTTGTAGTTATCCAAAACTAAAAGTCCATTGGAAGAAAAAGTGCAGCATTGGTTGGAAGGCAACTCTACGGACTCCACGACCCTGAAAACCTAATGATTGATACCTCACTATGCATCTACACCTGTGTAGGCAAATTAGTACCCCTAGATGGTATTTTTGGCCGCCATCTTGGATCTTGGCCTGAAAATGACCACATGGCTAACTTTCGACAAAAAATTCGGATTTTACGATCCAAAATACATAAAAATGGACACCTGACACGGCGTATTTGGAAACATCAAATTTTTTCACCCTAAAACCGCCATCTTGAATGGGGGGGGGGTGGGGGGTTTGCATGGAATTTGAGATGGCTATCATCAATTTTCTTTTTCTAGACGTCAAAACGAAGGGATGGATGTATTAAAAAATATGCCTTCACAAACTTGCACACGGGAATAATTACGCCCCCTCACTAGTGAAGGTAAATGCACCTACAGACTCGTTGCTGTGATTTTTTTTTTTTTTTTTCCCAGTCCTAAGGAACATGGTAGTCATACGCTTTTAATTTATTTGTGTGAAATCAACTTTTAATCATCTCTAACAGATTTCTTCTGGGTTTTTTTGTAAGGATCAAGATCCCGTTTCAATGGGACCTGAAGTTGTTGCTTCAACTAAAAAAGCGCTGGAGGTGCGTTACATGCTTCTCCCTTACCTTTACTCATTATTCTGGCGAGCGCATGCATATGGAGAAACTGTGGCCCGATCATTATTCTTTGAGTGAGTTTTCTTCCAATTTTATCTTTACGAAGTGGCTATTCGTCGGTACGGTACCGACGGATAAATGGCTATTCGTCGGTACCGTAGCGATGAATAAATAGCTATTCGTCGGTACCGTAGCGATGAATAAATAGCTAGCTATTCGTCGGTACCGTACTTTGATTTTAGTACGTAAATTATATTAAAGATATGATTTCTTAATAATATTTTGGTGGAAGTTAAGAGCTAAAAATTGGGTGAAAGATGGAAAAAAAAACCCAACACAAGTTGTAAAGAAATATTCTCCAAATTTAATTTATGTATTTAGTACTCTCACATTATACTGAAATTTACTACTCTGTCAAATAAATAATCATAATACTGAAAAGTACTTCACTGTCAAATGAATCATCATAATACTGAAATGTACTACTCTGTCAAAAGAATCATCAAGAACGCTTCTTTTTTCGGGTGGAGGGGCCTTTAGTTTCATTTGCAGGTGTTTTCTCTCGTTTTCGTTTTTCGGGGGGATTTTCCACAGATTGTCGGTCGGCAACGGTGCGATTAAAGGAACAAAATTGTCTTGCTGGCAGTTTAGGTCGCCCTCATGAAATGACTTTACTCTTAAATTTTAGCTTCGTGAAGCTCTCTGCACTGACATTTTCGTCAGATGGAGCAGCAACAGAAACCGAAGATTTGCTAGTGGTGGAATAGCTCTCTGCACTATGATCGTTGTTAGTTGGGGCAGCGACAGATACTGAAGATTCGCAAGCCGTGGAGCAGCTACCATGAACTGACAAAAGTTGTACATTTGTAGCACTTATTATCTCCGTGTAATTACAACAGAGCACCATAGATGGCGTTTGCTTGTCCATTCGGACCAAGGCTAGACAACACATTTTTATTAATTAATGTCGCCGATGCGGTACCGACGAATAGCCATTTATTCATCGGTACGGTACCGACGAATAGCCATTTATTCATCGGTACGGTACCGACAAATAGCCATTTATCCGTCGGTACCGTACCGACGAATAGCCTCATCCTTATCTTCATTTAATTTCACTTTGATACTCTAATCCAAAAATTAATGATCGAACAGTTACCAACTACAATTTTTTGTGGTTTCAATTGAAACGTGTGTACTTTTTTCTCTTTCTCGGTTTTTCTTTTTTTCTTCAAACATGCTGCTATTTGTGAGGTATTATCTTAGTTGGAGTTGGTAGTGTTGGATCTTGGGGTGAATAAATAATGAAAGAACACGATCTACTCGATCACAAGACAAGAAAGGCTGACAACATTCTGCCTAAAAACGATGAATGGTGCCCAAGACACCGCAGTGATAGCAAATTGGCTCCTGCTACAAGTAGTATTTAGGGCTGTGTGAATATTCGCGCTGTGCATATTCGCTTCGTCTGTCTCGCGCTTTATTCGCAAATTGCGAATATTCGCGCAGTTGCCAATAATGAATTTTCGAACCAACATTTTCAAGTATTCATGCCGTCTGGAATAACGAACTTCCGAGTGTTGGATAGCCTGGGTTGGTATTACCCAGCACAGGTTGGCAACACTGCCCTCAGAGGGTCAGGTGACGGCAATCGTGATGGCGTAGGCCGATTATCAACATCATGTCGTGATACCGTGTCATGTTCGTTCCTTTCTATTTTATTATAATAAATTTGAATATCATTTAACCGTAGTGTTCAGTTATTACCCACACCACCAAACATGGCGACAAGGACGAAAGTACGAATGAATCGGGTGATCAACGAAGCGCAGCATGAAAATGCTGAGGTGCGCGTCGTGAACCGGCACAAACGGGAATAGGCCTAAAAGTTCAACCATGACCTCGCGCTCGGTATTTATTTTTTTCAAGTGAAGTTCAAGTGCCAAACATGTAATTTTAGTGCAAATTCACCATGACTTTCAGCATCGCGTTCCAATTCGGCTTTTAACTCGAATTTTTTTTTTGTCTCGTCCGAAACTCTAAATCCGGAAATGCTAAGTGCGGCTAGCGGAGACAGGTTAACCCTACAACCATGCATCGCGTCATGAACTCCTAATGTAATTTCGCTGAGAAATTTTCATTTTAATGTATCGATTAAGTTCGAATCCAATAACTTTTAGTATATCGATTAAGTTCGAATTTTAATTTCTCAATTGCACATGGGTCAATTTCTTCTAAGTTCATGATAATCTGTGTCGTTATCAACCTTCACTAATTGCAAGGTAATCATTGTTCGGTCGATACAATGGAATTTCTTGCAAAGCCAGAACCCCTGGAAATCAATGATAACATTAAAGAGAATTGGGACAAATTCAAAAGACAATGGAGAAATTACACTCTCGGCGCCGAAATCACCGAGAAATCCGAAGAGGTTCAGAAGGCCATTTTCCTAAACCTCATCGAGTCTGAAGCAGAAGAACTTATCAACTCCCTTGCTCTCACTACTATCCAGTCTAAAACTGTCGATCTTCTAGTCAAAGCTATCGATGAGTATGTCAAGCTCAGGACAAACGTGGTATTTTCTAGATACCAGTCCTTCACAAGATCGCAGAAAGACGGTGAGGATTTCAAAACGTTCCTTCTCTCACTCAAAAAGCTGGCTGACAATTGTGGCTTTGATGAGCTGAAAACATCGCTCATCCGTGATCGAATCATCATTGGCATCTCTAATTATGAACTTCGCCAACGCATGCTCGGAGAGGAATACGACTTTGATAGGACGGTCAAGCTATGCAGGTCAGTCGAGTCTAGGAAACTGCGGGCAAAGGAAATCAACAATCAAGGGACATCATCCACAACTGAGGTCAACTGGGTCAGCAAACCGCATTACAGCCGAAATCAACGCAAAAGTCAACAACCAAGCTGCAGCTCAGGTACTGGAACTACAACTAAACAGCCAAAGGAAAGCCCTCCAATATCTCAACGGCCAGGCAGGGTGATCAACTGCCGAAATTGTGGGACTAGCCATCCTATCAACCAATGTCCAGCATTCAAGAAGCAATGTAATTACTGTAAGCGTCTTAATCATTTTTCCTCTATGTGTAGATCTGGTAATAATTCTGTGTTACCTAATTCTAATGATAAAATTACACCTTCTTCAGCTAATTCCAAAGCGGCTGATGTAGTCAATGTCCATTGTCAGTGCTCATGTTCTCCAAACAGTATCTCTAATCCGACTGAAATTTCAGATATTCATGCTAGTGATTATGTTTACATTTTAGAAATCTCTGTCCAACCAACTTTTATATTTGAGCATTTCACCAATCAGTCAAAATTCAGCCAGCTTGAGGATCATACAATTATCGATCATCAGCTTAAACAGTTAAATTTTTATGAGTCAGTTAAGCAGCCGGTCAAAGTTCATAATGTGTCAAATATTTCCAAATCCACAGATAAGTGCTGGATGGAAAATTTAATCATTAACAATAACACGGTCAAATTTAAGTTAGATTCGGGAGCAGAAGTTAATGTTTTATGACGTCAAATTTTTGACCTGATCAAAAATTCAACAAATGTGCTTTTACCCAATCCTCAAACTGTGAATAAATTAAGACACGTAGGAAGAGGTGTTCCAATTTGCAAAGACCCAAATTTTATTTATGATAAACCGAAAAAGGCTGATCACTCGTCAAAGTTAACTGTAGTATCTCTGATTCATTCTGCAATAAATTTCAAAGAAATTTCATGTTAATTTTAAGAACTCTTACTCATTCTAAGTAATGTCATATTTATAAGTGACTCTAACAATTATTTTACTCAATCTAAGTCATGTTATATTTTACAATTAAATCTACATAAAGCTTGTCACTGAATTAATTTTTAAGTGGCCAATGCCAATCCACTTAAGCCCAATGGCTATAAATTTCAATTTCTCTACATAACTGCGATTTAATAACTTCAATCGGATTCTGAACAAAAATGCTAAATCTCTCATATGTCTCATGATTTTGGAATTGCAAATCAATTGAAAAGTTGTTTAATGTCCTGGCTAATACATGTTAACTACAGCCTATGACTAAATACAGTTAATTTCAGTAATATTTGTCGATTTCAGAACTGCAAATCGTTCAAATCTATGTGAATTCTGAAGAATTAAAACTTCAACCACAATTCAGAGCTTAAATTTCATAAATTTATTGGTTTCATAAATGCAAATTAATCAAATAAATACTGTGTCAAATTTTCTGTTAGTGTACAAGTTCAAATTCCTCAATTGTAATTGTTCAAATTATTTTAAAAAACTATTCTTCATGTATAATTTTAAATCAAACAGGTGAAAGTCAAACACCTCTGGAATATTTTTAACTTGGACTCTGCTCCCTCAATTTCTTCGTTTGTGTTTGCAAAAGGGAGTAAAGTGTAAGTCAAAAAATAGAAATTGAAAACAGGAAGGTGTTGGATAGCCTGGGTTGGTATTACCCAGCACAGGTTGGCAACACTGCCCTCAGAGGGTCAGGTGACCGCATTCGTGATGGCGTAGGCCGATTACACAGATTAGTTCAGATCTCTAACATCCAATCTTGCCAATGCTTAGAAAGCGTGAGTAATTTTGCTACAGGTTAGGCAACTTTAGAAAATTGATGATACTACCAGTAGTGAAAGAACTTGACTGGATCGAGAGAAATTTCCCCTTGAATCTGATTATAAAGCTTTAATAAAGTATAAATAGTAATGTGTAATAATGGTTTTTGATCAAATAAGATTTTATCAAGCACTGTTATGCTAAGTATTCTGTTTCAATATTCTTACAACAGTTGGTAGCAATTAACTGCTCTCATGGGGGGCCTGGCGGGAATTCAAAACTAGGAACCAAAAGTCTCATTTTGCTAGGATTTTGCTTTAATTTTCGGTTTCTAAGGCTTTAAACTTCAAGAATATGATATATTATAATCAGGCGGTGAAGATCGATTCATCCAGAATAGATGAGAGATAGACATTCCAGATTAAGAGGGAAAGTGCTACATCTTTTAATCTGGAAATATTGAACCACATAAATTCTACTGAGAAACTAATTCTTGAATTCTTCGGAACGTTTCATCCCACAAAAATCTGAAAAAGAAGTATTTTCTCGCCGAAAATCTGCTGCAAATAGCCAAAATTTCAGTTTTGGTTCCAAGTTTTAAATGCCCATGGATTTTCCCGCCAATGGCGCTCACAAAACTACTCACGCTCTTCCGCCAATGTTAGCGATCTGGACTAATCTGTGGCCGATAATCAACATCATGTCGTGATACCGTGTCGTGTTCGTTCCTTTCTATTTTATTATAATAAATATGAATATCATTTAACCGTAGTGTTCAGTTCTTACCCACACCACCAAACACAGAGTGACACTCGTGAAATGTTACGAGAATCTTTGCAAGGCTTCCATCCTTCCATCCAAAACATTGCAAACGGCGGATCTCCTTTGATCTTTACCATCTTTGCCGAGTTTACGAACAGCGTGCTCCAAGAGTACCTCACATTGGAAGTTAAATTAACAAGACGGAGAGAGGGAATAGTTCATAAGCACATTTTCATTTACACCGAAAAAAATGAAATACTAAAAAATTTTCTGGTGATCCTTAGATACCAGCTTGACTGCCCGCGCAGTTACCTTCAAATCCTGGGAATGTGTACATTACTTCAGGAACAGTTAAGCCGCCATCAAGGGATCTTCAAACACATTCTTAGCAGTCTAGGCTACTAGTTTTTGAGAAATTATGGTGACTAAATAATTTTCCAAAGCAAAAATATAGTATAATAGGAAGTCAGCAACGTGGCAAGCAGTTAGATGTGGTTTTACACTTTTGCCGTCGATAAGTTTTTTATGATTTTCAGTGAAGTTTCCTCACACCTAGACTATTTTCCAGATAACGTATTTAAATCACCATTTTGTCTTTTGATCCAGTGTAATTCCTTGTTCGAAGAATCCTGCACAGATCAGACAGCTCAGTGGCTCCCGTTAGATTCTGATGAAACTTTAATAGAGTAAAATAAAGTTCATTATTAGCACAAAGCCAAAACAATTGCTCATTCTTACAAGTAGAAGCCGAGACTTTCGCATGTAAACATGGGTCATTTTCTGTGCAGCAGAAACAAATGAGCGGTCCTCGTCGTCTATCTTGTGCTTGAACACTTCAGACTTCAGCCGGGAAACCTCCTCTCCCCTCTCTCCTCCAGGTAGCCTCTTGGACCAGCTCAGGCAGTGCAACATGGAGTCCTCCATCTCGCACACTTAGCTTAAATGACTAAAGAGTTGCTGAAACAGAATCAGCAGATGCGGGGAGAGGGAAGGCATACAGCCTTTGTACTCCTAACTGTGTGTGAGGTCTGATCGAAAATGCCAAATAACCAGAGAAGAGGGGATTCATAAGTCTTCCGTCATGCTGTGATATGATAGAAAATACTTCGGGTTTAATCGCGAATATCTCGGCTTCTACTCGTTAGAAAGAGCTAATTTTTTGGCTTTGTGCTAATAATTGTGCTAATAATAAACTTAATGTCAATTATTATTAAATTTTAATCAAAATCTACTGGGAGTCACTGAGCCCCCTGTTCTGTGTTTCTGTGTTCTGAGGACGAAAGCCTTTTTAACCCTCTCAGTTAATTTGAATGAGATTTTCTAAGGAAAAAATCATGAGCTGAGTCATCGCTAAGAGCATTGTATGGATCAATGAGAGTAGCATATTTATCAAAGTTTGCAAGATAAAAAAGTTGCCTGTGTTTTGTTGTAAAAATTAGATGAAAGTCTCAAAGAACCTTCTAAAAACTTTTCCTCTCGTAGTTGGACGGTAGTTTTTAGAACACATCAAGTACTTGATGTAGTTCAACCAATTTTCTTCTAATATAAAGTACAGTCTTATAATAAAATTTTAGCAATAAATATTCAAGTTTTTTTACACCTTACTACTCTTCCAAACTATTCAAAATTGGTGAAAAGCATAAACGCACCGCATAGGAATACTTACTCTTTGAACCAGCTCAGTACTAGCACTTGTTCATTACAATCTTCTTGAAACATGACTGCATCATTTATTCATAAAACTCTGGGTCATTTCTTACCGTCAATTATGGAAAATATGCAACCAGAAGCATCAGATTCTGTGGTGGTATTTGCTCTTTGTAGAGTATGAGGGTAGATTGCCGCTAATAAATGGAAATTATAAAAAGTTGATCTACATGCTGTGGTTTTTCTAACGGAACCTATTTTAAAGACAAATATTTGAAAACAGTCTTATGTATTTGCTCTGATAATGGTTTGAAAAATCTTTATTCTTACAGGTATCCGGAGGATACAAGAACTTACAACATTTCGACTCAATTCATGTGGGGGTCTGCTTTACTTATTGTTCCTGTACTGAAAGAGGTAAGAGGTGTTCTATGTATACAGTTCAACTGAAAGAAAATTTAATGTCTCTAAAAATTGCTAATAAATTGGAAATTCAAATTCAGCGCCAGGTTGAGAGGAATAGGTCAGTTCAGTCATACCCTTTTATTGGGTCATCAAAGTAACCAAGCTTACTGTTTATTTCCAAACTATTTTTGATAAAAGCAATCGGGAGAAAAGTTTCCTTGAATACACAAAAATTAAGGTGGTGGAAAAAAAGGTTTAAGCTCGTTGCCCTTGAGTTAACGCGTCACATCCAAAAAGGTGGTGGAATCCGTAGTGGACGAATACACGCTGGCTTCTGTGTTTGTTGGCAATCATCAGGAGGTTAGGCCGTGCAATTTTTACTAGTGATTTCTTTCAGAATGCTTCTCCAGTTTTATTAGTTCATTATCAGTGCACAGTACAACCGAAACTTAAGTTATTAAGGTAACAGCACCTGTACCCGGAATGGTACCAGTATCCAGAAATTCGCTCAGTTTTTCGTAAAAAATAAGCGGTAGGTACATCAGTGCAAAAAGGGCATCAGGTTTTCACAAATTACACTCAGAGGACGCCACCTTGCAATAAGTGTGATGGTCGTGCGCTCCTTCTATTATCGTCACTATAGAAGCATGGTACAGATAATAGAAGGAGCGCACGACCATCACACTTATTGTAAGGTGACGCCCTCTGAGTGTAATTTGTGAAAACCTGATGCCCTTTTTGCACTGATGTACCTACCGCTTATTTTTTACGAAAAACTGAGCGAATTTCCGGATACTGGTACCATTCCGGGTACTGGTGCTGTTACCTTACAACACCAAAGAATCAACCTAACCTCGAATGAGATGCCAACATCAATTTAAATGGTAGCATAGTAGTAGTTAATGTTGGGTCGTGGGTGAACAATGATACTTGTGGCTAAAGTAGCATTTATTTTATTGACTCTTGTTTCATATTATGTGAATAATATGAATTATAAAATCACAGACAATCACACAACATGGCACTAGGTGGCTGACGCTATGATAGATTTGCCTTCAGAGGCGGAGTTGCCAACAAATACTCGTTAACACCAACCCAGGCTGTCCAACAGTAAATAGGTCACTGCTGCCATTGTACTCCTATGAAGCGTAAGTTCAAATTCAGATGGTAGTAACAAATATGATGACTGAAACATGTTATGAAGAATCTCACCAAAGAAAGCGTTATCTCTGCACAGGGACAATTTTTTGTGCAACTTTACAATGGGTATCAATTTTCCTTTGTCGAAAACTGGAAACCAACTATTTTTAGGCCAATTCCTCCCAAGCTTAACTGATCCACTGTGAAAGGATGGGTACCGATAAGGGCCTTTTTTGGATCCCGCCCCTCCCCAGCGGGCCTTTTTTGGCCCCCCTAGAATCTGGAAATTTATGCGGGTTTTCCAAGTTGACTCAATATAGTTTACGGGAATAATCATGATTTGGTCCTTAGGCCACTGGATACGTGTTAAACGTTTCCCGAACATATGTCTACAGGCGCATGTTAGCGAAAATGCGTGTTTTTCTGTCACTCCAATGCTTTTTTGACTGGGAGCACATTGTCGAAATAAAATGAGCTTTAGATATGTTATCAAGGAGGCTTTAGGACACATTTTAACCCTGGTTTGGTTTTAGTTAGTTAGAAAAAAAAAAATAGTAAAAAATAGTTAAAATAGTCATAGTTATAAAAAACTTTTTCAAAAGTCGACTTTTAAGGGACATCCGCAAAAATCCTAGGGAAACACGCTTCTCCAACTGTAGGCATGCTACGTATATTATTGAGGGCAGGTATTAAGCCTTGTTAAACTCTTACAAGGAGATTTTCTTTAATTGTAGCCAAAAATAACGTTAACAACGTAATTCTCTAGGATTTTTACGGATGTCCCTTTAAAGTCAACTTTTGAAAAAGTTTTTTTTAACTATGAGCGCATCATCTAACTAAAACCAAACTATGGTTAGAATATGTTCTAAGGCCTCCTTAATAACATATCATAAGCTCACTTTAGTTAGACGACGCGCTAGGTGTCAATAAAGCCTCAGAGTGATAGAAAAACACGCATTTTCGCTAAAATGCGCCCGTAGACATAAGTTCAGAATATGTCAGGCAACTGTTAAACATGTATCCAGTGGCCTTTGGACCAAATCATGATCATTTCCGTAAATTACATCGAGTCAACTTGGAAAACCCACATAAATTTCCAGAGTCTAGGGAGGGGGGGGGCAAAAATGGCCCTTATCAGTACCCCTCCTTTCTATAGCCAGGTTACGATTAACATTACCAATTGCAGGTATTATTATGATTGCATTTTGCAAAAAGGAACCACTAGCATTGCAATGATGCCAAGATTGTGCAACTTCATCTTTTGCAATAAAATTGCGGAAATCGTGAAAAACTATGAAATTTAGATGGTAATTTTTGTCTTAAATTTACAGTTTTTAACGAGTAAAATAGAAACTATTAATGGATAATCGTGTTTTTCCTCCAAGACAAAAGAAGTTGCACAATCTTAGCAACACTGCAATGCTAGTGGTTCCTTTTTGCAAAATGCAATCCATTATTAAGTGAGATATGAGGTAAGAGAGGTGTAGACTGTAGAGAAATATTTTATTTGGAATTTTTAAGAGTAATTCTCCAGTGAAGGAAATGTACTTTTCGATTTTATGTTTGATAAACAAAAGTAATTGGATCTGTAATTAACAACCTTTCCACTGTGCTAACCTCTGACGTCTTCATCTCATAGGGTGATACGTTCGTACAAGCATACTTGCCAGGTGAATTTTGGTACGATTTGAAAACTTTTAAACGAGTTGTTGGAGGTGATGTGGCACTCTCAGCACCCATGGATATAATTCCAGTTCTAGTGAAACCAAAATCAATCATACCATTTCAGTATCCAGGGAATACAACAACTGAAAGGTATCTACTTTTTACTATTAACTTTTTCAAATATACTCTAAGGGGAAAAAAACCTTGGAAATTTAGGAGCCTTTCAATGAAAATAGCTAAATGAATTCTAGAATCAACAGGTAGTTGATGATGGCATCACCGGAGATCCTGATGACACCATTAATTGGTTCCCTTGATGATGTCCTGCATGATTGGTGATGTGAAGTTTTAAATGCAGGCCCTCTCAACCAAGAATAGTCATAAATCTTAAGAGGATTTTCCTGAGGCTAAAAAATTTTCTGACAAACATTTGGGAGTGTTACTCTCTGACACTTGTAGAAACTACCCCAATTCTTGACGAGTGTCTTGTATTAACTTGTTCACTGCCAATGTGTATTATATTTTTATCCTCTTTTGGGTTCCGCAACCAGTACATTTACTCCGTAGCTCCTTGGAAGATCTGAAGCAGCAATGCCTCTATCTCATGGAAACTGTGTTAAAACAGGGTGTTCAAAAAGCTGGTCTTCATGACTACTCTAACCCAGAATGACCATTTCCCAGTAATTAACCAGTCAGTATAAAGACTGCTTTGACAGAGAGCTTGTAAATGATTTTCCTAGAATTACGCTAAATTGAGGCTTGTATGACTGAGATCTCATGAAACTTCACTGCAGAAAGATTTTTCCAATTGAATTATACATAATTTAACTTTTTGTTTTTTTTCCTAACATTTCCTTTTTTTCTGCTTCCTTTTTCAAATATCTAGATTATACCTATCACCTTATAAATTATCCCTTTCCAGCCGATTGTCTCCATTCGGTTTGCTTGTTGCCCTTGATTCCAATAGTACAGCAGAAGGTTTTCTTTATTGGGACGATGGTGACTCATTAAGTAAGTATACTATCCTTTGATTGATTTTTTTTTTCTTTTTTCTCTGCATGTCATCAATGGTCGTACATGAGGTCATCCAACAAACGGTCTCAGCAAAAAAGTAAAGCCTCCACGTACATTAATTAAAGCTTAGATAATAAAAAATCATTAGTTTTTGCAATTTTGTAATCAATAGTATTTTGGAGTTTTCGAAGGATAATTGCACCTGCACCTAGATGTGAAAGGAAGAAAAGGACTAAGTGCCAAACGGGCCAGTTAGGGCTCGGGGCAGATACCTTTGAGACTTTCCTTATTCATTCATCAAACAATGCCTCATCTTTTCCCTAAGTTTCAAGCCCCCCAAAAATTTTGAAGAAACGTGGCGGGGAGTCAAAGTTAAGAATCACCAAAATTTTTGCGAATTTGTTACTCGAATACCAAGAAGTTTTGAAAAAAGCGGTTTAGACGAGCGTTTTCAACATGAAGAGAGCTTCCAGAAAATGTATAACATCATAGAGTTTTGTCAACGTTAGCTCGAGTTATTGCCTCCGAAGCGCCGGAACGCTCAAAAAAGACCCCTTATTTTTTCACGTTCGAGCCGATTTAAAAAAAAAAAACCATTTTTTTATTTCGATGAAATCTGATATGTTGTTCCTGACTCTCTGTAGCCCCTCTAGCTCTTCACTGTATGCTGGGGAAATGTTTTGGTTGTGAGTTATGAGAGCGGAAAGGAGCGAAGGTCGGGAAAATTTTAAACTGCGCACGCGGCGTTGATCGGAAGGAGACAGGGACCGAGAGCGGAGCAAACTAGCTGTCCGCTCTTCGCTCGGGGCGAAGAGCGGAGTTTCTTTTTCGGGCGCTCGCACTCCCCGTGAGTTTGCCGGCGAGCAAACTCTTAGGAAGCAAGAAAACAGAGCGAAGGACAAGGCTGATTTCAGCCGATCCTGGGGAGCATATAAATCGAGTGTTTAAAGAAGGCCAAGAGCGCTCTCTTTTGTTAGAGTGTTGCACGGCGATCAGGCATAATTACACATCCTTTCTTCTGTTCGGGGTAGTGGGACAAAAGCTGTGCAACCCTGGATCTGCGGCCACTGACCAGGGACCTGGCACCTCAAGTCGCATGCCATACCACTTTTTGCGCATCGTCTTGAATTTTGATTTCATGCCGCTGTCTTTTCACGGTATGAAGGCCAGGAGTAAACCAAGGTCCAGAAAATCTTATGAGCCCTACAGATTCCACGCTTCTAATGAGGCATGGGGCCCATGAGTTTTGGGTCCTTGCATGCTTCTTGACATTGATAAATACAGGAGTATCATACATATATACTTAATCCTTCTAATTCCGGTTCCGATGTCATTTATTTTTTAAGGTTGCATGCCGCTGGAAAGTAATTAGAGACTTATAACTGTACTTTATACTGTTATCTATACATTTAAGGGATATACAAAATAAACAACTTAAAATGAGTCTAAGGCGGCAAAAATAACAGCTATTACAAGTGCAATTTCAACTGGAAATAAAGAGAGAAAATTAAAAATTAATTCAAATTTACCAAGCCTCACCACTGTTACTGTGAGATTCACAAAAACAACGGTGAGATTCAGTAAATTTGAGTTACTTTTCAATTTGTATTTTTAGTCCAGTAAACGAAGGCTTATAGGATACATCTCCGGCCGAAAACGAACATACGGCTGGATTTAGACCCAATCGATTCTTCATATGAAAAGGAGTTTTTAGCCAGAAGTCCCCATGAATCCCCTTGGGGAACTGCGCACAGTGGTCCGATGAAGTTGAAAATTGGACATGTTTTCAAAAATTCACCACGATGCGAGAAATGGACCTAGAGAGTTCATTTTTTTTGAAACTGTAGGTAATTAAGTCTACTTTTCGAATAAACTTTAGTTTTGAATGTTAAAGTAATTTAAATGTGAGTAAAATGGAAAGAAATTGAAAATTGAGAATTATTGACCGGCATTTTCTGTATTTACGTCCTTATGAAGACCCGGATCGAAAAATACCCTTCAGTAAAAGTTGTAGATCGTTCTTTTAGCGTTGATTTGGTATAAATACATCATAGGTTTATCTTTAAAATTGAGGGAGCAAAAGCGCAAAAACGGAGCGGTTCGGCGCGCGGCCGCCTATGTTTTGAATCGTAAACTGGCGATTTTAGGTGGCGGATGATGGCAGTGATGGTTAATTCACCTCTGCTCGTCTACTTACGACCAAAATCAATCATTTTCATTATAAAGGCTCTTTCCGAAAGCGCCATAGTTGCCAGTTTTCGCTTTATTATTTAACTGCTCACTAATTTGTTCTGGCAACGATTCAAGTGATACTTACGGCTTTTGGACTACATTTTAAAACTCCACCCCTTGTAAAGCAACAGTGCAACTACTTTTCAATCCCTTTTAGAGTCAGTTATCTGCCCTGATCCCCCCCCCCCCA